AGGGAAAGAAGAGAGGATAATGGAAATAGAAGGTGATCTCCAGATAGGGAAGGGAAACATAAAGAGGATATAAAGAGAAAAAGGAAAAAGGCCCTCACTCTTCTCTTCCCTCTCCTTTTATCCATAAGGGATAAAGTTAACAAAATAATTGAAGTTGTGCATCATGTACTATATCTCGTCTTTCTCCAATGCCTTGATGGAAGATTGTGATGTGGATGTCAGGTATTCTCAGTATGGTGGCCATCCATAATACTTGGGTGAAAGGAATGAGTTTCGAACGTTGGGCGATGTATTTAATAATGGATTGACTGGTGCTCTTATTAGTTATGATTACTTATTTATAGTCATGATGGCTTCACTGATGGTTTCTTTGAAGGGGGGATTTCTTAAAGGTTCCTTGAGTTACGAAATATAGGGAAAGAAGAGAGGGAAATGAATATAGAAAGTGATATCCAGAGAGGGAAGAGAAACATAAGGAGGATATAGAGAGAAAAAGGTTGATGCCCCTCACTCTTCGCGTCCATCTCCTTTTATCCACAAGGGATAAAATTAATAAATAATTGAAGTTGTGCATTATGCATTATATGTTGTTTTTTCCAATGTCTTGATGGAAGTCTGTGATGTGTATGTCAGGTAATATCGATATGGTGATCATCCCTCATACATGGGTGAAAAGAATGTCTCAAGTTTTGGGCAATGTCTTTAATAATGGATTGACAGATACTCTTGTTAGTCATGATGACTTCTTTGTAGACATGATGTTTTCTCTGATAGCTGCCCTTATATAGGTGGGTTGCGTTTCAGATTGACAGACGAGCTCGATTCAACCACTTTGATAGGTGAGTTCGATTCAACAACTCTGGCTTGTGGACTTGATTTAGTCGCTTTGGCTAATGGGCTTGATCCAGCCACTTCCGCAGGTGAGTTTGACAAAAACTTTGGTAGGTGGGCTTGACTCAGAAGGAGAAATTTAGCAAAAATTTTGTGTACTCGTATTTGTGGATACAATTCCCAACTAATAATGCTATATACATAGAATAACTATCGTTGGAAAAGCTATTG